CGCTGAGGAACCGGGTCAAGTGTGGAATGGGTGGGCAAGGTCTCACGTAATACAAAACACACATCAGCTAAGCGGAGCCCCGCCCACAGAGGGCGTGGCGTGCGTCGAAATGAATTGTACCGAAGACCAAGATTTCGATTTCAGTGACAAAACGACCTCGAAACTGGGCCAAAAAGTGGGCTAAGGTGTGCATTGGTAAGTAACATCGAATTAGGGAGACCCACCCCCGGTGGGCGGGGCGTTCTCTAAAAAAGCAGTGCTTTATGAAAAATTTCATAACTCGGTTGGGAGAAAGCCTACAGAGCAGAAAACAATTGGTGTAAGGGAGCAATGTCTAAGGTGTTTCCTGCATACATGACGTGGGCGGAGGCCCGCCCAGAATGGGCGGGGCGCGCTCTGAAGTGTACAGCATTTTCTACAAGCCCTCATAATTCGGGTCGGGGAAGTCTTAAAGAGCCGGAAAAAGGTGGATAGAGGTGTATGGAGGAGTGGAGGCCAGCTGTCATCGGTGGGCGGGGCTTGACCAAAGTGGGCGGAGTTTGCGACGAAAATTCATAACTTGGCTCCAAGAAGTCCCGGAGGCCGGGAAAAAGGTGGTGGAGGTGGTGGCGGGAGGGACAGCCTTAATGGTGGGCGGCTTGACCAAGTGGGGGTTTGCGACACGTTCATAACTCGGTTCCTTGAAGTCAATGCGACGAAAAGGTGGATGGAGGTGTTTAGAGGAGTGGAGGCCAGCTGTCATCGGTGGGCGGGGCTTGACCAAAGTGGGCGGAGTTTGCTACGAAAATTCATAACTTGGCTCCAAGAAGTCCCAGAGGCCGGGAAAAAGGTGGGTGGTGGTGGGTGGAGGAGTGGAGGCCAGCCCTTAATGGTGGGCGGGGCTTGACCAAAGTGGGCGGAGTTTGCGACGAAAGTTCATAACTCGGTTCCTTGAAGTCCAGGAGACTGGGGAAAAGGTGGATGGAGGTGGTTTGGAGGAGTGGAGGCCAGCTGTCATCGGTGGGCGGGGCATGTTCAAAGTGGGCGGAGTTATCAACGAAAATTCATAACTCGGTTCCAAGAGGTCCTGGAGACCGGGAAAAAAGTGAACTGAGTCCGTCAACGAAAGGGAGGTCAACTGCCATTGGTGGGTGGGACGAGCAACAACGGGGCGGAGTTTGCCCTAAACTTATATTATCATATTGAGAGGTCCGGGAGACCGAAAAAAGGTGGGTCGAGTCCGACAATGCACGGGAGAACAGCTGCTATTGGTGGGTGAAGCGTGCATCAAAGTGGGCGGAGTTTGCGACGGAAATTCATAACTCAGTTCCAAGAAGTCTCGGAGGTTGGGAAAAAGTAGGATAGAGGTAGGCGAAGGAGTGGAGGCCAACTACTATTACTGCTATGCAAAATTTTCTTAATAACTCCGCCCACGCTGGACTGGGCATGTCCAGGGAGTTATAAAGAAAATTTTGTAACTCGGCTCCAAATAGTCCTGGAAATCGGGAAAAAGTGGGCAAAGGAAAGGGATTGAATTTCTAATGGTGTGCGGAGGTAAACCAAAACTGGAGGTTTTGCGGCCAAATATAAATCGGCTCAGAGACAGTCCAGAGATCGGGTAAAAAGTGGGGAGAGGTTGGCGAGGAAGAAAAAGATAGGTACAGTCCGAGACCGGTAAAAGCGGTCAATTAGCTGACGAAATATTGAAGTTCAAAAGCCATCGGTGGATGAGGCATGGGACATTCGGATAGAATTCAGCTTGAAAGTAAAATATTCGAAGTTATTGTGCCTAATTCGAGAATTTACGCCGCACCACCCCATATGGCTGCAAAACTGTGCTGTGCGCGCAACGCGTGCGGCGCAACTGGTATATATATATATATATATATATATATATATATATATATATATATATATATATATATATATATATATATATATATATATATATATATATATATATATATATATATATATATATATATATATATATATATATATATATATATATATATATATATATATATATATATATATATATATATATATATATATATATATATATATATATATATATATATATATATATATATATATATATATATATATATATATATTACAATAATGCTGGGTGTGAACAAACTTTCCCCAGGCGGGACTAGAACCCGCACCTCTCGCTTTCTATGTATTCCGCAACAAGAAAAACGCTCAAAGGCAGTTATACGAGACGAAAGTTTTGTTCACAACCCAGCATTCTTGTGAAACATTCGCAACGCGAACTGCGGCGTTAAAACAGCAGTTAACAAACAAAACAAGTCTATATATAGTTTCTCGTCGATGAAAGAAAGAAATTTTTTGAAATAGTGGCAAGAATGGCGTCTGATCATTTAGTACGGCTGAATAATGTGGTCGTAAGTGCCAGTAACTGTAAAGGTGCACATTGCTTTTTTTGTAATGCTTTCATTCACATCGGTCGGTTGATCCGGATCTGTCGTGATTGTTTATCCGTTACAGATCGGTACACTCAGAGAGCCGAAATTTTTGTTGCTTCGTACGAAACAGAGTTACTGTTCACTGAACTCATCAATATCTACGATTTCAGCCTGAAGGCTTTGGACTTGGTGACATTGCGTGAACTCGCCAAGCGGGTCAATGTGATACCTCTGATAGCGAAGTCGGATACGACGTGTAAGGATGAGCTGATCCGCTTCAAAAACAAGGTATACATGTTATAATGTTCTTTTGTTATAGAAGAAATAACCGTCATTAATCGGATATTCGTAAAGAGAAAGATGGGTAGTGAGGAAGAGAAGCAAGGTCAAGTGATGTGTCGAGAAAGGTTCTGAATTACGTAATACCCCTCCCACCTCCCCCCAGTAACGAAGGTTGCCAAGCACAACTCCTCTCTCCTTTCTGCTACGGGCTCCTTTCAAGAAATGTTACTGCTGTCGCAACGCGTGCGTTGACGTTCGAGCGGCTTACCTGCTGGCTCACAGGGTGAAAATTAAAGACACATTCAACTGTAACTTCCTTCAGAGTGGACGACTTTTTGAATCAAAAGAAGATTTGCAATTTCTCGACGAGTTATTTCTAATCATTAGTGAAATTGTGAAGATCAGTAAGAAACGATCATTTTGGGGTTATTAACGAGGGTGATTGTGCGAGCTTTTACATTTTTAGAAGCCATAACTTCTTTCAAATGCATCTAATCGGGAAAAGTAATGTGATGCTGTGAACTGGAAGATTTGCTCTATTCAATGTGTGTTGAAATTATGTGGCACCTTCACTATCTCAAATATGCTCCCGTTGAGGTTTTTTGCTCAAGCACGACCTAGAACTTCTCCTTCGTTGCGTGTTCGCTCTTTCTACTGCCACAGCTTCTTTCATAGACAACTTCACCAATGTGTGAAAACAGCTTCGAAATTTTTGGGTTTCTGCTTCGAAGAAATTGAAAGGTACATCAACTTAAATGGTTATATTGGGTTGTTCAGAGAGTGCTGCATCGCTCTACCCGTTGGCGCCGCACGCGTTGCGCGCACAGCAGTTTTGCGCGATATGGATGGTGCGGCGTAAATTCTCGAATTTGGCCCAATACACTTCGAATATTTGACTTTCAAGCTGAATTCTATCCGATTGTCCCATGCTTCATCCACCGATGGCTTTTGACCTTCCCTCCTTCGTCCACCAATTGTCCGCCTTCGTCAACCAATTGTCCGCTTTTCCCGGTCTCGGACTGCCTCTGGACCGATTTATAAATCTCGTGGTAAACTCCGCCTATTTCTTTGCATGTCCCACCTATCTTTTTCTTCCTCGCCAACCTCTCCCACTTTTACCCGATCTCTGAACTGTCTCTGAGCCGATTTATATTTTGCGGCGAAACCTGCTTTTTTGGTGTATCCTCCGCACACCATTAGAAATTCTCCCACTTCTCTCGGTCTCCAGGACTTCTTGGAGCCGAGTTACAAAGTTTCGTGGAACTCCGCCCACTTTGGTCATGCCCGCCCACCAATACAGTTGGGCTCCACTCCTTCACCCACCTCTATCCACCTTTTTCCCGGCCTCCGGGACTTCTTGGAACCGAGTTATGAATTTTCGTCGCAAACTCCGCCCACTTTGGTCATGCCCCGCCCACCATGACAGTTGGCCTCCACTCCTCCACCCACCTCTATCCACCTTTTTCCCGGCCTCCGGGACTTCTTGGAGCCGAGTTATGAATTTTCGTCGCAAACTCCGCCCACTTTGGTCATGCCCCGCCCACCAATGACAGTTGGCCTCCACTCCTCCACCCACCTCTATCCACCTTTTTCCCGGCCTCCGGGACTTCTTGGAGCCGAGTTATGAATTTCCGTCGCAAACTCGCCTCGC